GTTGGCTATGGTGGATGGGTGCGGGTGGTGAAGGTGGAAGAAGGTAAGTGAAGGTTGGCTATGGTGGATGGGTGTAGGTGATGGAGGTGGGAGAATGTAGGTGAAGGATGACTATGGTGGATGGGTGTAGGTGATGGACGTGGGAGAAGGTAGGTGAAGGTTGGCTATGGTGGATGGGTGCGGGTGGTGAAGGTGGAAGAAGGTAAGTGAAAGTTGGCTATGGTGGATGGATGTAGGTGACGGTGACAGGGTGCAAAGTGACCCTTGGCGCCGCGCTGCCCCCTACCCCGAGCGGCTGGGCTCATTGCCCGCCGTTCCCCTTAAGTCCCGGAGGCAAAAACAGTTCCCACAGTGCTCAGTCCACAGTCCATATGCAGAAAACACACAATAATAGCAGAAACAGTTGGCTGGGAACCTGCAGAATCTGCAGATTCCACTGTTTGCGGTAACTTACCGCTTTTGCTGTTTCTTTGCCCTGGGTGAAATTTCGGGATGTACCGTCCTATGTTTCCCGCCCCAAACGTTATCAGACTGCCACTAAAATTGGTGGGCCCCCTCACTGTACCACAGGGAAGGTCCCCCCCAAATTTCGTGTCATTCTGACACCGTTTGGCTCAGGTTGCCTATTTCGGGCGTCCGCCAGTTCAGGGCGAACTGTTCAAAGGAAGTCCGTTTTTTGATTTTTTCAAAAAACGGAGTGTGATGGCCTGCTGGGTCTGCAGGCCATCTGTTCTTGCCCAGAATATGAGGTCTGAGCATTCTCAGACCTCATTCCCAAGTTTTCTATAGTGCAGCTGCCGACGCGCCGTCGACCGCGTTCCGCCCGATTGCGGTTTCCGCATGACCCTTGCGACGACGGTGGCTACCCCGTCCTTCCCCCGGCTCAGCAGTCTATGCTGGCCAGGTTCCGTCCAGGACTGCAGTCCTACAGTTACCAGCAAAGGAAAAGTACAGCAGACCCTCAAACTACCGGAAAACAGCAGCCTATCGGACCCCCTACTTTCCGCGTTCGAATAGAACACGGGGG